TTGAACGCGACGCGTCCGGAGTGTGTGTGATACCGGTGAGTTCTCCTAGACTCAGCGCTGCGCTTTTATTTTGATTAGATAACCATCAAGTGTTCAAGAATAGAAGTTAAAGTGTGAGAGTATACATACAATATCCATATGTATATCATTTTAATGCTATGGCCTTTGTGTATATATTTAAAGATGTGCATCTTTAAGCATGACTGTTGAAATGAAATGGTAACACTTTAAAATAAGAGTCCATTTGTAACATTAAGATTAATGAAAGCTGTGTAATGAAAGTATTGTTCCTTGTTAGAGTGTGTTAATTTCAACATTTTTATTATTATTATTACTACTACTACTACTAGTATGGTTCAGTACTGTTTTTTTAATAAAGCATTATTTTAGTTTTTGTTCAGTATCCATTTTAAAAACTATCGGTTAATTAATCGGTATCGGCCAGTGTGGTCCAACCTAGCTATCGGTATCGGCAAAATCCACTATCGGTCGACCTCTTATTATTAGTCATCTGATGTTATTCCAATATGTGATTTATATAGGGCTGCACGATTTGGGGAAAAAGTCTAATTGTAATATTTTTTTTTTTCTGATACAAATTGCAATTGTGTTTTAAAATACTATTTACAAATCTGCAGGCTTGCTGTGTCTGTTTGTAGGGCTGCATAATTTGACCAGAAATCATGGCTATATATTTCAATATGGCTATAAAATAATGATAAAAGTTGTAGTAGTGGAAATTTTAGTAAACAAATAAGGAATATTTGTATTGTAATATTTCGAAATAAATAGTTGTAAATAATAATATTTTATCTTACAATACAGCTAAAAATTACAATACTTAAATTCTTAGACTCTAAAAACACTGGATCATCTTATAAAGGAACACAGCGGCATGTTTCACTCTGAAACACAAAGCAGATACATTTAATAAATTAAATTGCAGAGATTTGATAGTTGCACTAAGCCATATCACGATACCTGTATGCTGTTATTTTTTCCTTGGAACAAAAAAAAAAAATTTCCAAGAATAGTGGAAATTTTAGTAAACAAATAAGGAATATTTGTATTGTAATATTTCGAAATAAATAGTTGTAAATAATAATATTTTATCTTACAATACAGCTAAAAATTACAATACTTAAATTCTTAGACTCTAAAAACACTGGATCATCTTATAAAGGAACACAGTGGCATGTTTCACTCTGAAACACAAAGCAGATACATTTAATAAATTAAATTGCAGAGATTTGATAATTGCACTAAGCCATATCACGATACCTGTATGCTGTTATTTTTTCCTTGGAACAAAAAAAAAAATTTCCAAGAATCTTCATGTAGCTCACTAGTTCATAGTGACCATAGCTGTTAAGCCTCAAAATTATAAAAAAACAAAACAAACAAAAAAACTTGACGCCTTGGTGATGGCAGTTTCAGAGTGGAGCAGGTTATTACATTGTGCTAATCAAAAAAAAAATACATTTTTGTGTAAGTATACATTTTTGATTTCATGTTGACTTGAAATGCATGTGTGTGTACAGCTCTAGTGAGTAAGTGTGTATGGATTTGCAGCTGGCTGCCTTCCCGTCTACTGCTGATGCGATTTATCTGCAGCACTATGATGTGTGTGTGTGTGTG